TCACCTAGCTGAGTACATTGGTGGACATGATAGCTATGGGTTGTATTCAGCTAACAGCTCTTTAGAATGTAGCGTCTGGTGGCTGCTCAAATTCCACGTCCCGCCATGGACATTACAAGAGAGTCTCAATCATTTTTTCCTCAAAATAAAGTGACGCTGTTACCTCGCCCCACGCCAAATGAAGTGACAGTGTCCATGGAAAGGGCATGCCCTGAGCCCCATCTACTTCCCTTACAGCTCCTTGCTCTTCGACAACCGGCGTACCAGGTTCAGGGTACGATGGAGCATGTGACCTGCTCCCATGTGACAGTACCCAGGCCTAGAAGCCAATCACTAGGCCCAAGCACTACTGCGACATGACCGAGGGGTGATATCATCACTGACACAGTCACAAGTCCAGAAGAAGAACCTCTCTAGCAAAAACAGGTGAGGTTAGTATATGGGGGTCAGAAGATAACTTTTCCACAGACATTGCCAGTGAGGATAAAGCGTCCATTTGAAGAAAACTCACCAGGAAAATGGGCAATACACAGAGGTGAGGAGGAAGTGGGGCAGGGAGGGTTGAGGCGCGGAGCCTACAGGGGATTCAACCCACCAGACTCCACCTGTAACTTAACTGGCACATTTGGGAGCAGTGAGTCTACCAATTCTGCTGAGCTAGGTCAGATTGGCCTGTGCACGAGGACTGTACTGAAGAATCAGGACAGGGGAGGTACCTGAAGCAGTAGCTGGGGGTGAAGAGGTAGATGCTGGGTCAGTGCTGCTGTCTGCCGCTTTGCTGCTCTGCACGGTCTTGTTCTCGGAGTCCTTACTGGGGGTCTCTGCGGCTTTGCTGCCATCGATAGATGAGGGGTGCTCCACGCTGCTTTCATCACCTGCTGTCTCTGCATGAACATATACAAGAGTAAGTACGGGGGCAAAGCTCCATGAGACTGGCTGTTCCCTGCCGATAAATCACTACAGCTGCCTTACTGCACAAAGCTGCAACAACAAAATACAGTCCAATAGTCAATATAGTTTCACCTATAACATGGAAGAGAACTCACCTCCTTTCTGCTCTTTGTCCAGCCCCTCGGCCTCCGATTTGGAGACGGAATTAGCTTCTATGCTGCTCTCCCCCTCAGTCGCAGTCGCCTCCGATGTCTTTTCCCCCTCTGCCGAGACCTTGTTCTTCTCTGCTTCCTCCTGCTTGGCTTTCAGACGATCAGTTATCTCCTCTGTAAAAGACGGGAGGTTAAAGTGTCACAGAAAAACCTTGCGGTCCAAAAACAACAAAAGGGAGAAACTATTTCTCAGAAGATAAAGACGCTTAGTAGATGGGGCCCTTTGGAAGTCCTCAACACCACCATGCCGTAGAGGAGACCTCCCAAGTCTGGAACACTTACCATTGACCACTGACAGATAGGAACGGTTGTTCCCCTTGGCCTTGTTGGTCAGCTCCTCTGTGATATCCATATGTCGATGGATTTCTGCTCCGAGGTCCTCCAGGGTTTTACACAGGTCGGCCTCATAATGCGTCCGGTCCAGGCAGTCTAATAGCTCGTCAAGCTGCGGCTTTGTACTGAAGTACCAGATCTTCTTCTCCTTCTCAGACTCTTCTTCTCTGCACAGGGAAAAAAGAAGAATATCACCAACTGGCAGCCATGGCCTGACCTCATCTCCCTTTAAGACCCTTCAAATGGGACACTTATTACACGGTCATATCCTAGAGCTTAATAGGGTCCATCTGAGGGACTCCAGGGAGAACAAAGGAGGTATAGCTCTGCTGTAGATTTAGTGACATACAAAGTACAACAGACTATGGCTCATATGATTGGGCTAAGCTGTCTGGACCTTGTTTCCATGTCTGCCCTCCTGCAAAACCTCAATAATTAGGGTATCCAGCTAAACAGAGCCCGGGTTCTACCATCAAACTGAGACATTCATCGTTGGTTCTCCCACGGGTTGTCCCAACGTCTGGCCGATGAGACATCAGGCCTCCACTCCCACAAGTGGACTATCCTAGAGGATGAAGTGGACTGGCCATGGGAAGAGATGACCTCTCAGCTAAATGATGGGGATTGGCTTATACCCTGTGTCCAATCTGTGCCCCTCCATGCACCAGAAACAAAGGTCAACAAGGACTTGGATGGGTTGTCGTGGACTATTACAAGTCACCTCCGACCAGCAGAAAAATGGTTCACTTACATGATGATGCGTCTGGTTAAAAACCAGTATTTCCGTCTGTGGCGGTCGTAGCCGATGGGCTCGTGCCTTATGTACGGCTTGTTTTTTTGGATCTCGGCCACACAGTCGTTCACGCCAGACACTTTGTGAGCCACGCACACCTCGCACTGCCACTCGTCCTCGGGTACCTCCTCCAGAGGCGGCTTTACACACTCCAGGTGGTAGACAGCGGAGCAGGTCTCGCAGCACAGCAAGTCCCCCAGTTTGTGGCACACTCGACAATGGTCGTCGTACGTGATGACGCCTTCGGACATCAACTCCTCGCGAGCCATGTTGGTGGTAAGGAACTGGTCCACCAAGAAGAGCAGCACTTGCACCTTGCTCTCTATAGGGCCGTACGGATAGTCGTCCACTTCCTGGAAGGGAAGGACGTGTTGATACTCCTTGTCGCTTTCGCAATAAACGCGCAGCACCTCCGGCCAGGTCATGCCGTCGATGAAGTACAAGGTGGAGTTGACGCTGTCCTTTAGGTCGGCTGGTCCAAAGGTAGTATTGGAGGTGTCCTCCTCTCGAAGGACAGCCTTCAGAAGGGCGACGTGCGTCTCGGCCAACAGGGTGCACTGCTCCTGGCTTACAAGAGCGGCGCAGAAGTCCTCGAAGCGGAAAGGGGAAAGCCGCAGGACCGTGCCAAAGTTCCTCAGCACCTCGTAGATGGCTATCACGTTCATCAGGTGCTCCGAGGGCAGCAGCAAATCTTCCGAAGACTTGGGGAACTCCAGAGGCGGCACGTCCTTCTCCTCAAATATCGGGGAGCGCGGCCTGTGGACTCTGGGTCTTCGCTTTCCTGTTAAAAGGAGAGAAAATCAGTCAGAGGGAGGATGAGAGATGGGAGACAACACATTGATTATAATGACATGAAGGCTGCCATTGCTTTGTTCTTCTTCCCCATTATCTGATATGAGGAACTCGGGTTCCAATACTTGAAGTCCCTGACCCAGAATGCAGATCAGAACCTCCACCTTTCCGGGTCAGTGACTCCAAATACTGAGGCCAGAGAGTGAACATTAGAACCAGACAAACAGCATTTTCAGACAGACCAGCAATGACCAGATTTCTATCAGGAAGGTTCAAAGTAGGGATGCACTTTAGGCATAATGCCGAAGGTGCCATTTTCCTGCCGATACATGGGCGCATCCCTGATTTCTTTCCTCCCCGCTGGGCGCTGCTCTGTGTCCCAGCCGGGAGGAGAGAAACTGTGATAGCCGGCCGAGCGCTGCGAGAGGAGAGCGCAGTGAGCGGCCGGCGTCTCCTCCCACACCGCTCAGCCGCCTATCACAGTATGGCAGAGCGGTGTGGGGGCGGAGACAGCGCTGTCACAGGAGGCGGAGCTCTCCTCCCTACACTGCTCGATCAGCCTCCTGTGACAGCGTATCAGAGAGGAGAGCGGGTACAAGCACTCAGTGATCGCTGAGTGTGTGTAGATAATTGAGGACATGGTAGTGTACTATATCTTCAATTATGAATGAATGGGAAGTGATCTACATCCCATCTACATCACTTCCTGTTTATTCATAATTGTGGTCATAGTAAACATACTATGTAATCGTGTTATCAATGATCAGGAACACTCAGTATAGAGGATTGCTGTTCTTTGATTTCAGGGGCACAGAAAAAGAGATTGAGGGCTCTGCGCGTCTCCGAGGACTCTGCGCGTCTCAATCTCTTTTTCTATTTTAAAATGGAAATATTAGGGTTCTGTTTAGACCCCTAATATGTCCCCGAAGCCCCTAAAAGTAATGTAAAAAATAAAAATATTTAATAAAAAAAGAATTCATAAATGAAAAAAATATATTTTAAAAAATTTAAAAGTTTATAAAAAATAAATAAAATATTTTAAAAATGTGAAAAAATTTAAATAAAAAA